CTTACAGTGACAGCAACAATAACCCTATTATCATCATTATAGTTAACACAATAACACATGCTATCTATCTTGACATAAAGAAATTCTTAACTTCATCGAATCATGAAACTTTTGCATGTTCAGTTTTGCCCACTCTTGTTGGTGAAGCTCTCCACAGTTACTTATTTTAAACTCAGATAAATGCATTTCCTGGCTAGAAACTCCATTTTTCAGACTTGTTACTCCTTCAGTCATTACACTACTATCTGAATTTTTTTTCTTGAGCCTGTATGCCCGCATGTACAACTTTTTTCTTTCCTTCACTTCACTAGATGTTTGTGAAGACCTTTTTCTTATTTCCTGTTTAGGTCGTTTAATGTTTCATCTGCATAATATTGACTTTTCCGCTTCATTGTAAATTTAATTACTAAATCATTTCTTTGGTTTTCATTTCTTTTACGTATTTCTAATTTGCCCCTTTCTCTTAGGTCAAGTTCAGAATAAGTTTTAGCTCTATACTTCTGCATGTATGCATTATTTTTTGCCTTGACTTCTGGCTGTTTTCTGTAACACTTCATATAGTTATTACATTTGACTCTGTTATCCTTTTTATAACTTGTGACTTTTTGGTCTAACTTCACTTCTTTCGTACTGCAAGAGTCTTTTGACACTGATTTGCAAACAACTGGATTTATGGTTAAGCTATTACAGGTCTGATTTGCAGATTCATGTAAATTGATGTCTACAGACTCAGACTTTTGAAATATGGAAAAAAACCAGCCATCCGGATAACTATACAATACTTCTTGAAAGGATAAGAAACGCCTTACAGAAACACACAAATCATCAATATAGATCCAACCGCTCGCACAACAGTAAAATGTCTATTTAAACACCTAACAATTCCTTTGAGGCAGTATGAAACTCTTAAGGTTTCCATATCATGTGGAAAAAACATTTGAGTTATACAATCAGGTGACAATTCTATCATTAAGAAGGTTGGCACGCACACAAAGTGTCGAAGTGAAGCAACACTTCCAGAATGATTTTGGCAGTAAACACAAAAAAGTCTATTGATGTTTGGCAGCATAGCTTCTGATACAGAACTTTCAAAACCATTCTGATTTATATGGCGGGAGGTAATATACAAGACAAAAACATCTGTGGATTTGGTGATTTCCTGGTTACACAATGAACGAATGGAATAATTGGTATGTTGAATAAGAAATAATGATTTTAAACCAAACGTTAATTCTCCAAATGTATTGATTTGGAATATGTCTCTGAATACAGCATTATCTGACATACCTGTAAAAGAGGCACAGTTCTGTCTCATCCAGGCCCAAATGGGTTCTCGGACTGAACGTAACTGGTTGGAAAGGATTTCACCACTATTTACTTGCACACATGCTGTGTATAACATTTCAAAAAATTCATTACGTTCCACAGACTCAATAGCATCTTTAAAAATGTAACAGCTTAACTCCATAAAACAATCAATTGCACATGGGAATTTTCCTGAAATAAATATCAAAGTTTTATAACGTTCTTATAGATAGCAAAAAATGTAGGTAACAAAACTATGAACGCTTTGATTGTATTGGTCTGTTCACGAACTTAAATAACAGTTTCTTTTCCACTTTGTTTCACTAGCTATAGAGTTCACATGTCATTTTTTTGAAATTCTTTAACTTTGTCCACAAAATGGTTGATTTGTTTAGTACCACAGTACTTCCTGTGGAAATTACAAGTTTAGTACTTCTTTGGCAATGTTCCGTTGGGAGTTGTATTTCAATTTGGCATCTTTTAGGCTCATAAGGGCACCTTCTATTTCATCTATGGTGCTGCTTATACTTGCTGTTGTATTCTTCAGGAGGTTTTCGATTTCAATTGTAAACGCAGTGAGCCACAATTCCGATTCATTGTGTTGAATACACAGTTTGACAGAGCCTTCCCGCCTGCAGTTGATGATCCTTTGTCGCACTTTGCAGTTTTGGCATCTCACTGACTCTCCCTACTCATCCCCACTTCGTTTTTTCCAAAGTTGGCATGCACTAAAAATGCTTAAACTGGCAACATATTTTAGTTGACTTGCAATGATCTCTCTTTCTGGATTTGTCAATATTTCTGGGCCCACTAATTTTTTGAGAGTTGTGGTTTCCTCACTCTAAGTTGTATTCCTGTTGGTGCTAAGGAATTTTGGTCCTTGATAATACCGTAGTGTGAGGTTTTGAAAGTAATAGGCCTTGTTGCTTTTCAGTCGTGTAAATAACGGTTTCCATATGTGGAGTTCCATTGTGCCCGTTTCGTCTTCCAATATGCAGTCTTCTTTGACAGATAAAGCTTGACTGGATTTGGTTTCTATCTTGCTTGGCTCCTGGGCTCCCATTGACAGAGTTGCAGGGACGTTGACTTTCTGATTGGGCGCCATTTCTTTCAGTTCTCGTAAAGAGACATCAGACGCTTCCTGTGATGTTGATTCGGAAGGTTCTGACTTGACAAAATTTGGTACATAGGAGAATGGTACATCAGCATTTGCACACTGCGAAACATAGGATTGCTGGTGGAAAAGCCAGTCGTTGTCTTCATCATCTGGTATAAGAAGGTTCTTTAACAAGACGGGAGACTTGGTTTCTTGGAAGTGCTTGTTCTTGGGATGTTTTGTTTTGTCAAATCCAACTACTCTTTGCACTTAAGTGGGTGAAACTTGTAGGTGAAAGTCAAACTAATCATGCTGGACCTTTCAGCGGTTTTGACGGGGGATATTTTTTGGATGTACCCATACTTGTTTACTAAACAAAAGAAAAACAAACAAATTCAGGATGCATGATCATCAATGCGCTTACAGTGACAGCAACAATAACCCTATTATCATCATTATAGTTAACACAATAACACATGCTATCTATCTTGACATAAAGAAATTCTTAACTTCATCGAATCATGAAACTTTTGCATGTTCAGTTTTGCCCACTCTTGTTGGTGAAGCTCTCCACAGTTACTTATTTTAAACTCAGATAAATGCATTTCCTGGCTAGAAACTCCATTTTTCAGACTTGTTACTCCTTCAGTCATTACACTACTATCTGAATTTTTTTTCTTGAGCCTGTATGCCCGCATGTACAACTTTTTTCTTTCCTTCACTTCACTAGATGTTTGTGAAGACCTTTTTCTTATTTCCTGTTTAGGTCGTTTAATGTTTCATCTGCATAATATTGACTTTTCCGCTTCATTGTAAATTTAATTACTAAATCATTTCTTTGGTTTTCATTTCTTTTACGTATTTCTAATTTGCCCCTTTCTCTTAGGTCAAGTTCAGAATAAGTTTTAGCTCTATACTTCTGCATGTATGCATTATTTTTTGCCTTGACTTCTGGCTGTTTTCTGTAACACTTCATATAGTTATTACATTTGACTCTGTTATCCTTTTTATAACTTGTGACTTTTTGGTCTAACTTCACTTCTTTCGTACTGCAAGAGTCTTTTGACACTGATTTGCAAACAACTGGATTTATGGTTAAGCTATTACAGGTCTGATTTGCAGATTCATGTAAATTGATGTCTACAGACTCAGACTTTTGAAATATGGAAAAAAACCAGCCATCCGGATAACTATACAATACTTCTTGAAAGGATAAGAAACGCCTTACAGAAACACACAAATCATCAATATAGATCCAACCGCTCGCACAACAGTAAAATGTCTATTTAAACACCTAACAATTCCTTTGAGGCAGTATGAAACTCTTAAGGTTTCCATATCATGTGGAAAAAACATTTGAGTTATACAATCAGGTGACAATTCTATCATTAAGAAGGTTGGCACGCACACAAAGTGTCGAAGTGAAGCAACACTTCCAGAATGATTTTGGCAGTAAACACAAAAAAGTCTATTGATGTTTGGCAGCATAGCTTCTGATACAGAACTTTCAAAACCATTCTGATTTATATGGCGGGAGGTAATATACAAGACAAAAACATCTGTGGATTTGGTGATTTCCTGGTTACACAATGAACGAATGGAATAATTGGTATGTTGAATAAGAAATAATGATTTTAAACCAAACGTTAATTCTCCAAATGTATTGATTTGGAATATGTCTCTGAATACAGCATTATCTGACATACCTGTAAAAGAGGCACAGTTCTGTCTCATCCAGGCCCAAATGGGTTCTCGGACTGAACGTAACTGGTTGGAAAGGATTTCACCACTATTTACTTGCACACATGCTGTGTATAACATTTCAAAAAATTCATTACGTTCCACAGACTCAATAGCATCTTTAAAAATGTAACAGCTTAACTCCATAAAACAATCAATTGCACATGGGAATTTTCCTGGAAAATCAAGGCAGTAATTCCTGAAATGCATTTGCTCAACGGGGAGGAATGAACGAGGCAATGACTGCGATATTTCTTTACCAAAACGTTCTTGTAAATGTGGTTTGGTTTGGGAAGATTTACGGGAGTTTGAATCCTTTGACAATGCTGGATTTCCATTGACCAAATGTGCTTCCTTGTTTGTTATTATGTAAGGATTAAAACTACCATTTGAAGCATACGGAATTCTTCTAGACAAATATTTCCGTTTGTAATAGGTGACCGTATATAAGCACGGGCCACAACATCTAATTTTGTGTAATTGTAAATCGTCACTTAAACAAGAACGCGGAGGTTTAATTATGGAGCAACTGTTTCCACAAATAATGAGTGATACAATCAGCATGAAGCAGTAAACATGAAACATGACAAAGTTGGTGTGCGACTGAACGCTCGCAGTGATCAAGCAATGGAAACCACGTGTTTGTCTTGATTTAATACGCAACGCTGGCGTTTAAGGATTTTTTTCTGCTAAAAGATGTAAAAATAAATCACTTCGCTTCTTTTCTCGTAAGTCTTCAGAACGTCTCAGTCGACGAAAGAACACCTCTTTCGAAATTGACAGGCAAACACACAGGTGCGAACACGCTGGTTCAATGCGAATCGAGCTACGAAGAACACGCTGGTTCTAATAAAAATTTGAGCGTATAATCCTATTCCTTGATCAGCTACCGCTTAAAATTCAATTTACAAAGGAAAAGAGAGCACTGCAAACCCTGGTTGAATAGAGAATGTATAAAGCAAACACGCTGGCTCGATTGAAGCCTGCGAAGAACGAGCTGGCTCTGACAAAAATTTGAGCGTAAATCCCTATTCCTTGATCAGCTGCTGCTTCAAACGCAATTTATAAAGAAAACCAAACCACTAATAGCCTTTTCAAACTAGAAATCGTATTAAAACCTGCTCAACTGTTAGGTCATCGACCTTCTCTGATGGACAACGGACAGCTGCACACTGGACCACGCAATCTCAAACCTCTCATTAGCCGATATTTCGGTCCGTACTGTAAATTACGGACCGAGTTTTTTTCTAAGAGCACTGTAAGTATTCACTCGTTAATGTGACGCTGGAGTCTTTTGAAAACTGGACATTCTTTAAAAATTTTGGTCCGTATAGCAAGTTACGGACCGCAAATTGACCAATCGCATGGCGAAAACAGACTCAGCCATATAATAAGCTCTCTTACGAAGCTCTCTTGTCTGCAGCCATGATTATAGGGTATCCAAATCCTTTGGGTTTTCGCTTAAATAACGAAGTAATAATATCTAAGGAATATCTAAGTATGACTAAGTCCTTATTCTTTGAAGTAGGCTTCTCGGAAAAGCGAAATAAGCTTAAAATGGCAAAGAAATGACAGTTAATACTCACATACTGAAGAGTAGGGCAAAGAAGGCAATTTGACGCAGCCGAAAACGAGGCTACGGCGGGAAAGCCGTAATGCAACTCGCGTGATGACGTTACCGGAAGTGATTTTGACCTTATGTAGCCGTAGTAGCCCCTTGCCGTAGTGAATCTTAAAGTCCCTCTTAATCCTTGTGGATACTGGGCTTAAGGAACTTTATTTGCCCTTGTTAGTAACGGGAATACACTGTACAATGTGATGGGTGTGAAAACACATCTGTCAGTATCAGTGGAGCCGAGATAAACCTTACTCTCTGGGCTGTAACCATGTCCTGTGTTGTAATTTGGCTCCAAGCATGTCTGCATTGAAGATGTGCATATTTTCAAACATTGTCATGAATTGACACTATTTTTGTTGTGGATTGACACATACTGTATAAGCTGTGTGGTTCAGCAAACAAGTGGAGTAAAGGATTTGTCTTCTCTGCTAAGATATGATGACAGGTCTTTAGCTGCAATAAGGCATGTTCAAAGCGTCATACCTTTAGTTCGACCACGCCCAAATATACGCTCCCACAGCGTCTTGTTATTCTCGTTATGATGACTGGTTCTTTGATTCTTGTCCTGTAGAAGTTAATAGGTGGTACCAATCCTGTTTTGTATGATCTCAACAAATTTTCACACTCTCTCTAAGGCTATTTTTACACGGGACTAGTTTGCTTCTATCAAAAATCTTGCAAGCCATGCCAGTGAAGCCACGACCTCTGCGATCGGTCCGGAATCAGTTCGAACACCCCAATAATTCCTTGCAATGAATAATGCTCTTATTCTATTACATGAAATGTTTTCTTTGAAATATTAAATGTGAAACCTAGACAAGTATTGTAAGCTCATCTTTAATTCTGTCCGCCAACTCCGTCCTTTGTTTTGAAAATTTTTGATCACTGGGGCGATGTTTTGAAGGTTCGTTGATAAACACAAGCGCACCTTCTCATTGGTTGAAAAGTGTCGCGTGACCAGCTGGCCCTGTCCTTAAATTTAGGGATATTCCGGACTGTTTATGCAGCATCATGGAAGTTGTTTACTTTGAGAGCGGAAGCTGACAGAGTTTTGTGTCAACTTGTGATGTATTTAACTGTCTTTTCCACTGAATGTACAAAATGAAATGGCTATGTTTAAAACAAGGAACGGGGAATGGGAGAACGGGGAATCTTTAAAATGGGGAATCTTTAGAAGCGGGAATCTTTAAAACGGGGAATCTTTAAAAGCGGGAATCTTTAAAACGGGGAATCTTTAAAAGCGGGAATCTTTGACAGCGTCAATCTTTAAAATGGCGAATCTTTAAAAGCGGGAATCTTTAAAATGGGGAATCTTTAAAAGCGGGAATCTTTAAAACGGGGAATCTTTAAAATGGGGAATCTTTAAAAGCGGGAATCTTTAAAACGGGAATCTTTAAAAGCGGGAATCTTTAAAAGCGTGAATCTTTAAAATGGCGAATCTTTAAAAGCGGGAATCTTAGCTTTAAAATGGTGAATCTTTAAAAGCGGGAATCTTTAAAACGAGGAATCTTTAAAAGCGGGAATCTTTAAAATGGGGAATCTTTTGTAAACGCTTTCATAATCGAAGATGATTCTAAGATCCCTTACTGTTGCTGATTATTGTCAACCGAGTTTAATATCTTAACAGGCTGGTGTAAAATCAATACTTGCACATTTAGAAGTTCTTAGCTGAATGATTTTGAAAGCGTTGGTCTTGAAAAAGTTTCAGCCAATCAGTTGAATGAACTAAAAACGTACGCGCTGTAAAAATTTGTTGTTGTAGTCATGTTTTTCTTGTCTATTATTACCTATACAATTAAAATACAATTATTTTTTTAAAAAAAGCACATGACATTCCGACCAATAATAATCATTAAAGGTCTGATAATAGACCTTGTCACGGTTTTCGACGCCATCTTGACGAGTGGGCAAACGCGTGAGAAATTACAGTGTTTGTATGAGGGTGTATATATAAATGCAAAATTTGCAATAAATTCACACTGTAGTTATAAGAAAAATTTAGCCAAAAAGTCACTTTGTATATTCTAGAAACCGAGAATTTCGCCATTAATTAACGGCTAAATATTTTCCTTCTTATAGAAATTATTTAGCCATTAATTAACGGCTAAACATTTCCTCTATATATGTAATATATGGATTTAGCCAGGGCTAAAAGCGAAGCTCCCATTAATAAATTTGTGATTTAAATCAAACAATAAACTTGTAATCCACAAATCAGTTAACTTAAGGGCACATATGTGACTTTTTAGGGAAAGCTAAGGCTAAGTGATTTTAGAGTGAAAAAAAACCTTTCATCGAATTGATAGCAAAAAATAGCAATCATCGTCGATCACATTTAAGAGCCATAATAGCTCTTGATCACAGTAGATTAGGCCTGGAAAACGAATTCATGGAAAAAACAAATCAGGCCGAATTTTTTGCGTTCGACAAGTCTACTTAAAAAAATCTTGCCAACAACTCTGGGAGCGTGTAAACCAACATTTCATACTTTTTATCTGAGGTGAAAAAGTAATATGAGGCGCTGTTTTTATCATACAGACCTCAGACAAAATGCAATATTTCACAATTTTTCAAGACAAATTGCACTCATTCAATATTCAGAACCGTACGAAGCACGCGTGGACTTTTAGCAAAACCGTTCAAAAAATTTCCAAAATCACCTATACGGCCAGCCGGTTGTCACTTTTGACAAACGCCAAATTTTCAGTGAACATTAAAAGAGTTACGCTTCAACATAATAAAGAATTTATTGTTTATTTTTGTACTTTAATGGTTTTATAACGATGTGCAAACGCGCAGCATTTTGAGTACAACTGCAAGCGTTGTCTGTGAACTACTGAAAACAAACAGCAAAGCAATTGCAAGAGACTACTAACAATCAATAAAAGAAATGTAATTCGGTGAAACATTTACAGAGACAACAATTTTCATTCACGAAGACAAGTATTAAAGCGTCTCTAAAAATCCTGAGTCTTTACGCTTAAGCCTAAAGCTTTTAGCCGGCTTCCTGGTGTTTACTGTTCTCAGAGATGAACTCGAGGCAAGAAAATCGCTCAAAGCTTTCTTTCTACAGCCAAAATTATAACTAAATACTCTTCGGAACGTTTTTTCATTCTATATGCGGAGAGAAAATATCGACTAAAGGCTTTTTAAAGCTCTGTAAGCTTATATACTCAGTAGATCAGATCATTGTCTCAGATCTTAATACAAACGTGCATAAATTAGCCTCATAAACTGCGCTCGACTTCATGAAATTAGATATAAAAAACAAACATACACTGTATACAATAATTACTCAGGCTTACCATTCGAGATGCAGCTCTTGAAAGGTATCAAGTAAGGCCAGAATCGCTTGAGGGACTTTTCAACCCCGCATCCAGCAAGGTGAAAAACGAAAACGATGCATCCGAAATCGGATTTCCAACTTTGACAACCGGCGCATTTCCCAACCAAAAATTCAATAAACAAACCAGCCATGAATCAAAGAAGACTGTTGATAGCAGCTGTATTTCATTTTAAGCATCCAGTGGGAAAAGACAGTAAAAAACATCGCAAGTTGACAAAATACTCTGTCAGCTTCAGCTGTCAAAGTAAACAAGGTTCAAGATGCTGTATAAATCTTTTGCATGAACTCACCTGTCAAATTTTGACCAATCAGAGCATAAAAATTGGACGGTCGTAGAGCGTGATCAACGCGTGACTATGGTGAGAAACGTGAAAAGCCTCTGTCTTCCCTGCTTGTATTTTTAAATGATTGGCTGGATTTTCGCGTCTGAGATCAGTTTGAAATCAAAATGTTAATAACGCGGGGCCATAGTGACATTAACACAACACTTTCTGTCATCATGTCATTATTTTGCTGCCGTTCTCTTTGCCTTTGTATTTCTCTTTCGCGTTGCCTTTGTCTGTTCATTCTAGCTCTGTCTCGTTCTGCTTGCCGGCGTTTTTCACTATAATTTTCTCTCCT